ATAAACCCGCAAAGAATCCGACAACGTGTGGACGGTGAATCCGGATATTTTGGAGTCCGATGACGTAGCAGAATGTCCAGTCTCTTATCGAACAATAAGCCAATATGGCGGCACAACGTGTAGGCCTAGCTTCGGAATCGACAGATGAGCACGACGATACAGAAGAATTCTTGCAAATAGATTTTACAGATTGGGCCAGTTGCTGCTGAACTTGTACGCTCTCCTTCACCGCGATTTCATCCGCTATAGCCACCTCCAAGGCTAGTTGAAATGTTTGATCTTTATTTAGGAGCTTTTTAAGGGTCGCTGGATTTCGAATGCCGCAGACGAAAAGAAAAATTGCGAGTCAACGCCAGACGTCTCAAACGGGCGTTGTAAACTGGACGGTTTCGTTTCCTTCTTGAAAGCAACGATGGAATCTATAGGATTCTGCGACTACTAATCGTTTAGGTTTAAAATGCTGCTGTAGTAATTCACATAGCTGCTCGAATTTTTTGTCTTTCGGATTCACCGGACTGCACAAGTCAAGAAGAACAATGCAAGTCTTCTTGTCGATCACAGAAATTGTTATGGCCACGTCATTCTTTTCTGCTTCACCGATAACTGCTTCCGATGCACTGGCTGGATAACTTCCAATGTTGTTTGCAACGAAGAACTGATCAAGTCGCGCCGAATAAACTGTAACTCTCTCGGTCGTAGGATCGAATTCTCCAACGGCACCTAATTAGCGGCAAAGCCATGGCGGCGATTACCCTGGGTGCCAGAGGTTTTTCTTGCGCGGTTTCCGGTGTCGGTCATGTCTCATGAACAGTGAAGTATTTCTGTCTGCCGCGCGCGACAAAAACCTCTGGTACACAGGGTAGGCGGCGGCAACCACAAGCGTGAAAACACGAAACAGCGATGTTGACAAAGTTAAAAGGAATCATGCATTATACAAGTAATCCAGGAAGTAAACGAAGTAACGTCTATCCCGTCCTCTTCGCCAAATATCATAGCCAGGGAAACGGAACCGTTCGAATAAGCGAATGAGAACAAGCAACACAGGCAAAACAACACTCTTTTAATCCACGTGTCGGGCCAAGCACATGCGCATTACAAACTCAAGAAGTCCTACGACGTAACAAGAATCTATGATATAACAGTACCCTTAGGAGACCATGACCAATCGCACGTTTAATGTTATAATTGCCCTTCAAAACTCTAATAATCTCTTCTATAGATTCTGTCGCTACGGCATCAGACTTCGTGTGAAGTACGACTTTTTAAAATGCTGCAATAAAACTCCTTTTTCATCTTTGCCTCTGCAAACCTGGAAGATGTTAGACGTCAGTCGTTATTTACCTTGGAAAACACGTCACAAATACGACATCTGATGAGTCTGAGATGCAAAATTATCTTAAAAGCCTAAAAAACAAACAAACAACCAAGATCTCTGGTCTAATTATCACACACTAAGGAACAAGGTCACACATGAAGTCCGGTTATTAAGAGTAAATACTACATGGATTTTTTGGATGTGATAAAACATTGCAAGTCATACTGGATGATAGTTAAGGCTGCTGCTCATAGTCAAGCGTCACAACCAACCAATACTGGGCATCAGGAGACAAGATAGGAAATTAGGAACTTCAGATCATGGGATAGCGCAAGTTCTTAATGAACATTTCTCTACTATAGGGGAAAAGTTGTCTAATGAGCTTTATGCTTGCAGCCAAGGGCACCGTTATCCCACGTCACCCGTGTAATGCCTTGTGTTAACATCTCACGCAGGTATTACTTACAGTCTGAAACAGCTGAAGTCTGCTAAGTCCTGTGGTCATTTCGCACCAAAACTACTTAAACACGCAAGGGAAACGGTGATTCCACCATTGAAAGAGAACATCATTGTTATCTCTCTATTCTAAACTGGCTGCCTGTAATACTGTTCCTCCTTCGTAGAAGTCTGCCAAAATTTTACCTGTTTTTCTCGTGGGTGGGAACGTAACATATTGGAAGCAGGGGTGTCATCAGATCTGTCAAGTTTAAGCTGCTTGCATTGGACAGCTGTTAGGTAGGGGTAGGGGTATGGGTAGGGGAAAGGATTATGAGTAAAAGTTTACTTTTTTCAGATATTCTTACCATTCTTTACTGGTATGACTGTTTTAGAGTCAGTTTTGTAGGTTTGTTTAATCATGAATTCGAAGATGATGGATTTAACATGCATCTGAACGATTTGTGATGTGACGTCATAGTTTTATGTGAAACACTTATGGAAGTGCAATAAATCCTTATATAATAATTTATGTTTTATTGTCATAGTGTTAGTGCTCCGAAAGTTACAACGTGTTCGAAGGCCTTAAAATCTCCACCACGGCCTCAAAGGACTCTAAGAAAACAAGTTTGGGGAGGGATAATTAAAACTAAAAATAGTAAGATTTAAAAAATGCTGAAAGTTTTTGATGCCATTGGGTTTTAATTATATGCGATGAAAACTCTGACGATGTTAAAGGATTATTATTGTGTTGTAGGGTGACAGTGAATTAAACCGTTTCTTGAAACTTTATTATTTCTTGTCAATATACCAAGATATAACCCATGGCTTTAATGCTTTTGTTTCCACTATCTGCTTTGATCCTTGCCTTGTTTCCACACGTGTTGGAGTCATGACGTTTTCTTCCTGTTCCAAACCCAATTCTGAAATCACAAGTATGGCAGTCTTTTTCATTATTTCCAAGGATGCCGATTCTTGCTTTTGAAAAGAAAGGAGTACACACAGCATTGAAACCTTCCTTGTTACAGTTTCGCTGTAAGGATGCCTGTGAACCAATCAACTTCTTCCACGTGTTACGGCCCAGTGAGGTGTTGCGGTATTGCCCGTCAGCGATCAGCGAGTGGAGGGAGTTGGCCTGCTTGTTGATGACAATGAAGTTGATCTGATTGCCGACCTTGGGGAGAGATAATTGAAACTTAAAATGGTAAGGTTTAAAAACTGTTGAAAGTGTTTGATGCCATTAGGTTTTAATTATATGCGATGAAAACTCTGACAATGGCAAAGGACTATTATTTTGTTGTAGGGTCACAGTGAATAAGGACCGTTTGAGTGCATATTTATTATTGCTTATCAATGTACCAAGTTTCTATGTTAGTTTCTTTTCACTGCACCAAAACGAATCCCATGGCTTTGAGGTGTTTCTTTCCATTATCTGGTGTTTTTTAAACCTTTTTTTGTTTTCCATGTCACTGCACCAGGATATAACCAATGGCTTTGATGTGTTTGTCTCCATTATCTGATGAGTGCCTAGCGACGTTTCCACACGCGTTGGGGTTATTACGAAGCCCTCCTGTTCCAAACCCAATTCTGGAATCACAAGGAAGTGCAGTTGATTTCATTATTTCCAAGGATGCCGATTCTTGCTTTTGCAGAAGTACACTTAGCATTGAAGCCTTCCTTGTTACAGTTTTGCTGTAAGGAGGCCTGTGAACCAATCATCTTCTTCCACGTGTCGCGACCCAGTGTGGTTCTGCGGTATTGCCCGTCAGCGATCAACGAGTAGAGAGAGTTGGCGTGCTTGTTGATGACAATGAAGTTGATCTGTTGGCCGATCTTCATACCAAGACAGATCTTGGAGAAGGATGTGTTCCAGTAGGTCGGTAACTTGGTCTCTTTTGAGTCAAACCCAGTCTCCCCTCCAGGAAGGTTGTATTCAGTTTTGTCACTCCAGTGCGCTGAGTCATAATGAAATGTGCTCTGAGGAGGAATATAAGAAAATAAGCTTCCCAAAGCCTGTTTCTATTGAATGGAATTTACCAAACTAGAGATAACTTAAACAGTTTTCACATGTGATGCATGGCT